AGGAATTTATTTCCGAATACTTCTTCGGAGGAATCATCAAGCGCTAGTTCTTCTTCTAGCGAGAACGAAGAGCCAATCACTATGGCTCAAGAGACGAGAACATTGAGGGAGCTCACCGCTCCAAATCTCAACCAACAACCATTGTGTATTACCTTCCCTACACTCAATGAAGGTAATACTTTTGAGCTCAAATCGGGGCTTATCCATCTACTTCCTTCCTTCCACGGGCTAAGAGGAGAGGACCCGAACAAACATCTCTCGGAATTCCATATTGTTTGCACGAGCATGTGCCCAAATGGAGTCACCGAGGAACAAATCAAATTGAGGGCTTTTCCATTCTCCCTTAAAGACACCGCAAAGGATTGGCTATTCTATCTTCCTTCGGGGAGTATAGATACATGGGCAGCAATGAAGAAATGCTTCCTAGAAAGGTATTATCCCGCTTCTGTCTCATCATCTTTGAAAAAACAAATAAGCAACATTGATCAAAAAGATGATGAGTCCTTATATGAATATTGGGAGCGATTCAAAAAGTTGTGTGTTAGTTGCCCATATCATGGGTACACTGAGCAAGACCTCATCCTTTACTTTTATGATGGTCTTGCGGATCAAGATAGGCGCATGGTTAATGCGGCGAGTGGAGGGGGAATTGTTAACAAAACCCCTTCTCAAGCAAGAAATCTCATCTCGGAGTTGGCCGAGAATTCTAGATACTACAATGGGAGATCCTCAACCCGAAGGGTTGCCGCGGCGGAATCCAACACCTCGTTGGAAAGTCAAGTGGCCGGCTTGACTTCTTTGGTTAAAGATTTTCTCTTAAAACCCAAAACCCAAGAAGTCAAGGTTTGCGGCATATGTTCAACACAAGGGCATCCGACCGATTCATGTCCATCAATACAAGAGGAGAATTTTGAGCAAGTCAACGCATTGGGTTTCCAAGGACAACAACAAAGGAGGTACGACCCATTCTCAAATTCTTACAACCACGGAATGAGGGATCATCCAAACTTGAGGTACGGAAACCCCCAACAATCAAACTCACCTTCTCAACCACCTTTCAACAATCAAGGCTCAAATTCTCAACCCAATATGTCAACTGATGACATGATAAGAGCTTTGACTTCAAACATGGTTACCATGCAACAAAGCATGGGACAATTTCAACAAACCATGATACAATTCCAACATGAGACAAAGTCAAGCATTAAAAATTTGGAAACTCAAGTTAGCCAAATTTCAAATGCCGTAAGCCGACTTGAAGCAAAGGACTCGGGTAAACTCCCGTCTCAAACGGAGCAAAACCCGAGACAACATGTAAATGCAATCATGTTGAGAAGTGAGACGATATTGAAAGAGTTAGAGAAGGAAGAACAAAAGGTTGAGCAAGTTGATCGTGAAGAGGAAGCTCACTTGGAGGAGGAAAACACAAAGGCAAAATTACCTCCACATTCATCATATGAACTAGTGGCCCCATTTCCCGAGGCATTGAGGGAGACAAAGAAGCTTGACAAAGATGCTGACATCTATGAAACTTTCTCCAAGTGTGAGGTAAACATTCCACTCCTTAACTCAATTAAAAGTATTCCCCGTTTTGCTAAATTTTTAAAAGAATTATGCAAAACAAAAACAAAAAATAAAGTGAAGGGAAAACAAGAGGTTGTGGTGAGTGAACATGTTTCGGCCCTTTTTCAAAAGAAACTCCCCGAAAAATGTAGCGACCCGGGCATGTTCACTATTCCCTGTAAAATAGGGGACACTTTATTTCCTAGGGCCTTGTTGGATTTAGGGGCTTCAATCAATGTTATTCCATATTCATTATACAAATCCCTAAAACTTGGCCCTATGCATGAAACCGGGGTAGTAATCCAATTGGCAGATAGGTCTTGCACTTACCCAAAGGGTGTAGTAGAGGACGTGCTAGTACAAGTTAAAAATTTGGTCTTCCCTGTTGATTTCTATATTCTTGAAATGGAAGCCGATAACCAAACTACACCCATCCTTTTGGGGAGACCTTTCTTAAAAACTGCCCAAACAAAAATAGACGTGTCTAATGGTTCATTAACATTGGAATTTGATGACCAAAAAGTAGAATTCAACATCTTTGATTCTACGAAAAAACAATTTAAAGACCAATCTCTTTGTTCTCTAAATGTTTTTGAACCACAAGCACGAAATATTTTTATTGAAAAAGATACTAAGAAAACATCAATTTTTGAAAAAAGAATTGAACAAAAAAAATCTATTTTGAAAGAAGAGTCGCCTCAAAGCGAGTTGGAACCACCTGTGGTCGAGGCGATAACAAAGAAGAAACTTCGGCCTTACTGGAAAAGGCCGAAGAAAAAGAATGAAACAAGGGATGTCCACGATCCCACATAAAAAAATAAAAAAAAAATAAAATAAAAAAATAAACGTCGTGCCACGACGTTAAATAAGGCGCTTCTTGGGAGGCAACCCAAGTTTGTATTTTGATTATTTTCAAATTTTTTTGTGTGTGTGAGAAACCTTTCAAAAAAAAAAAAAAAAAAAAAAAATAAATAAATAAAAATCTGGGGAGTGGACCCGGGCGGGTATCTGATTTCACCCGGCCGGGCGTGTTCGTAAAAAGGCACCTGGAACAAAAAAAAAAAAAAAAAATCGCCCGGGCAAATAATTTTTTGGCAAAACCCGGCCCCTGGAGTAAATTACCCGACCGGGTACCTTTAATACACCCGGCCGGGCATTTTTGACAAAAACATTCTGGATAAGCGGAAGTTAGGCCCGACCGGGTACATTACCCCACCCGGCCGGGCGTTGGGATTTTTTTTTTTTTTTTCACAAAAACCGAGATGGCATCCTCTTCTTCCTCACTTCTTCTTCCGCAAACACGAACCAAACTCCGCCAAAACACCATTTTCAAACTCCATACATTTGAATCTTCTCCAATTCTACACCAAATCCATCAAATAAACCCACCTCCCTCATCTCTTCATCACCCTCTTCACTACTACACCCCAAAAAAAAAAAAAATTCTAAAAATCCAAATCCCCTTACTCCACAAACAACAAAAGGCGAAATTTCCTCAACCAAAAACAAATGACACCAAAAAAAGGCAAAGAGATTCATTCTCTTGGACATCTCGGACACAAGCACTAGGGACAGTGCTTTGATTAGCTTGGGGGGAGAATTTCATGGAAAACTCACATTCATACTCTGTATGCTTGAGTTATTTTCAAAAAAAAAAAAAAAAAAAAAAAAAAGAAGAAAAAAGAAAAAAGAAAATAAAGCTTGTTAAGTTGAAAACCTGAAAAGGCAACTTAAGCAAACATAAAGCAAAAAAAAAAGAGTGAGTTGTGAGGATTAAAACAAAAAAATGTGGGAAGCTGGGATGAAAACCCGAAAGGGCACCTAGGCAAAATGAGAGAATGAGAGAAAGTACTTTCTTTTATTTCTGCAGGATCCTAAGGGTAATAAAAAAAAAAAAAAAAAAAAAAACTGAGGTTGATAAGAAATATGGAGTTGAAGACCCCCCTTTTACTCTTATATTTTTGGGGATATTTTTTCGTGTTGTTCTAAAAACACACGTGGATGTTGGTGTTGATACTCTTGCCATTTTAAGGACTTCTTGGGTTGGATTTGGTTTACTCGAGACGAGTAAAGGTTCAAGTGTGGGGGTATTTGATATGCACTAATTAGTAGTGCATAAGTGTATGTTTTTATGTTTGATTTGTGTGTATTGTTTATCGTTTTATTTAGTTTATAAACATTTGTGTGATTTTAGTTGTAATTGTATTTTAGTTCTCATTTGTAAGTTGTAAAGTAGAGTTAGGATTTATGGTGTTGGAAAGGAAGACTTTGAATGTGAAGAAAAATAATTCTTGGCTGCCCAGGACAATCACCCGGTCGGGTGAGGTATTGCACCCGGTCGGGTGAGAAATTTAAATGCGAAACTGCTCAGGAAATTACATCACCCGGTCGGGTGAGGTATTTCACCCGGTCGGGTCCGACTTGACCCGGAACACCAGAACGTGCCGAAGATCGCCAGAACGTGGAAGATATTTGATTTTGACATGCACCCGGTCGGGTGGGCACTTTACCCGGTCGGGTACCCGGCCAAAGGTGTTGAAAAACACCTATAAATAGCCCCATTTTCCTTCACTTTTAATCATCCCTTCTTCCATACTCTTAAGCTCAGTTTAGAATAGTATTTCTTTTATATTTTTATAGCATGTTTAGTCTCCAAATGAGGAGCTAAACTCTTCCATCTTGGTTTTGCTACTTTGAAGCTTAATGAATTTGTAAGTTGTGAGTTATTCTCTTTAATCTTCTTCCTTGAATATTAATTCTTCCTTTAAATACTATTTCTATATCAATGTTGGGGAGTGTTACTAAGATGACAATTAGTTAACATCTTGACATTAATTATAGTAATAGCTATTTCTTCCTCTATGTTAATATTGGGGAGTGTTACTAAGATGACAATTAGTTAACATCTTGATATTAACTATAGTAGGATTCATCTTCTTTAATATTCTTCCTTGAGTATTAATTAATTCCTATTCATATTTCATATTAATATTTTGAACATTACTTAAAGGATCAACTAGTTTTGTTTCATATATTAATTATTACTAGAATCAATCGGTTAATACGCTTGTTATTAATTCGGTTCTTTCAATGGTAGTAAACTTGGGTTGTTAATGCATGCTTCTCATGATTAATAAGCCAAGGGGAATTAATTATATTGATTAAACCAATAAACCGCTTGTGTTGAGGTTATCAATCTCAATCGTTTTCATCTTGATTTTATTGCTACTATCAAGTTAATATACGGCGCTTGTTCTATATTGACTCGGTAGTAAGTTTTATTAATGAACGCGTCTCGTTATTAATAACTACCCTCGATGAACTGGATATACTCCTCGATTGAGTATTCGAGAGGAAGATAGTTAAAGATATAACCGGGATCGACGAACATTTCATTAAGTGGATAAAAGCAAAGCCAAGTCTTCTTCTCATTAATTAAACCACATAACTCGTTCATCTTCGTGTTTAAATATAATTTAAAGTTCATCAACCAAATATAAACCCCCCTTATTGTTACTTATCTATTTCTGTAAGAAGAAAAGTATTCCTTTCCCTGTGGATACGAACCTTACTACACTATACTACGTATTAGTGTCGTATTGTATTATTACTTTGAGTGCACCTCACGACAAAGTGCACGTCAGCTTACCATCCACGCAGAATTGTACCTGAGGGGCAGATCCATTTACAACAACATCAAAGACCGGAGATCGAGCTTGCAAGGGTGTTGATGTCATTGTTGGAACCGACTGTGCTAAAAAAGGCATGCCACATATGAGTATCATAAGAAGCAACTGCTTCGAGCACAATTGTTAGTTTTTTTGTACCCGGTGTGTACTGACCGGCCCAAGATGTAAGACAGTTTTTCCACTCCCAGTGCATGCAATCAATGGACCCAACCATCCCAGGAAAGCCTCTTTTCGAGGCCTTTTCAAGAAGACGGTGCAGATCCCCGGGGTTAGGGGTTCGTAGGTACCAAGAACCATACACACTAATAACTGCCCTACAAACGACATAACTGATCTAATGAATAAGCCTAGCAACCATTGGCGAGCATACCTTGTTTGCTGCATCTACTGTACTTACAAAATAGGGATCGAAAGCCATGACATCTTTCATGATTTGATCAAATAGAGCCGGTTGCATGCGATAACGACGGCGGAAGATACGTGCATTGTAGGTGGGATTTGGATTCCAGTAATCATCCATCAACAAATGGTGTCCAGCTTCCCGACCACGGTCTATGTACTCACAACTATTGGAGCTTGTTGCAACCAAAGAAGCCATCAAAGCCATGCACATGCGGTCGGAATAAGCTTCTTCATCTTCATCTTCATTAATGGATTTGTAAAATGCAGGAAAAGAACTCGTGATGTTTTTGGCCTTGTTGAAAATGGGAGAAGTAAAGATGAGGTGTGTGATTTCAATGTCAAGTGAGGCCATGTATTTATAGTAATATAGTTCTTTGATGTTCACATGAAGTGGAGGATACATCCAAATTATTATGTTTGGATACACCAAGTGGAGAATAGCATCCAATGTGGTGTGAAAGAACACACATGGTGGAAAAGAGAATCCAATGTCATATAATGTGCTATGAAAGGACACAAATAATGGAAAAGGGAATCCAATGTGATTTGAAAAGATACAACAAGTTGAGAAGGGAATCCAATGTGTTATGGATAGACACAAAGTTGAGAAGAGAATCCAATGCTCCAATGTGTTTGAAATCACTCAGGAAAAAACGTAAAAAAAAAATTAAAGATCTTTTTTACATCAAAATGTGTCTTTTTTATTTTATAATTAATCAGCGAAAAAAATTAAAAGGAAAACATTACTTATAATAATTTAATTAATGTTTTACTAAATTGATATGTAAAAAAATGTGCATAGTATATTTTATTGATGGTGCTGGAATGCAGAGAATAAGAGTCAAAACACTGTTTTCATATCGACGGAGTCCATTTTAGACTTATGGTTGGACTTCATTGTTGTGTCATCTATGTAACCTTTTTAGTAGTTGTAGCATTTATTGTGTAACAAGTTAATTTGTAATGATATGATACTTGTGACTCCCGTTCCATTGAAAAATATGTTACAAGCATATATATATCATGTTCCATTCTAGCTGACATTGATACTTGAGTGATGTTATCCATCCCATTTCAAACTTCAAGTCATGGTTTTATAACGTCACCACCATTTTATAAGATGGTATAAGATTTCCCCAATTTTCCATTAAATTACATATGCCCCTATATATTCAAACCATGTAATGGTTTCTATCAACTTTAAAAAATTGTGACACAAACTTGAGATGGTAGTGGTTTCAAAAAGATCACTCCAATTTAGATCTTTTCATGATAGCATCATTAAAACAAAGGAATTCTTAACCATTGCCCCTATCGATAGACTATAAAACTAACTTTACCTAACAAGAATGAAACCTACCATGTCAATAACCGTAACTATTACGCACATGGAACCTTGTATTGAAATCTTGGAAGGAAAAAGAGTTGTACTAATAATAATAACAACATAACATCTTAACTTTGTGTTTGCATCATTTTCGAATAAAAGAGATTGGCCCCCCAACACCGACCGTATAGTTAACCGAGAGGTTGTCAAATGAACTTTAATCACAAACTGGTAAATAGCGAGCGAGGTTTTGACCCAAATACTTATAGAGGCCATTCATTTTCACATAATAATATCTCATCGCATTTTCCAAAATTTGAACTCGAAAGTTATCCCTTGTGGCACACATCATCTACCAGTTCAGCTATGCCCAGCGCCGCATCATTTTTCGAAGTGTAAAGAATTTTAAGTTATCAAGCAAAAATTCAAAGTCATGCATGTGCGAAAACATTGAACTCTTAATCTAAGATATACCTTATAACTAGAGAAAAACATTGAAAAAGGATTAAAATAAAGTTAAATCATAAAATTGCTAAAAAAATGTCAAAAGAGGCTTTTGAAAACCACCCAATTATTATCTTAGAATTCCATTGTCTACATGTGCACGGTAACACTTTATGAGCCTGTTTGGTGATCATGTTTTTTGGCTTATCAAACTTATCAGCCATCTTTTTCATCAAACACGTAACTTTTGATTTCGCGCGCTGAATTGTGTAATAATAAGAAAAAGTAAGGCTGAAGTTACTTTTCTGGCTGTATTTGCTGAAATTACTATAGAGAATAAGTTTAAACGTTTTTCATACTCCCTCCGTCCCAAATTGTTTTGCAAAGTCAACATTTTTTGGTCAACCAATAATAAAAGTCAATGCTCCGTATCGATAATTAATTCAAATTTTAATAATTAAAATTTAGATATTCAGAAACTAAATTAAAATCTCTTCAAAGTTGCAAACTCCAAATTAGAATATATTAAAAAGTTGACATCCTAATTAAGCGAATAAAATGAAAATGTTTGACTAAGAAAAGTCAAATTTGCAAATCAATTGGGGACGGAGGTAGTATAATTTTTTCTTTATTTTATTAATAAAATACGAAGTATATTTTAAATATAATTTTTTCTTAAATCAGCAGAATCAGCCAATACAGTCACTTCAGCCAGAACATTATAAATTTTAGCAGAATCAGTCAATACAGCCGATTTGAGTATTACCAAACGGGCTCTATTTATAATAAAATTTACATTTTCTAACTTCCATAAAATATACTACATCTGTCCCATCTTGAATGTCTCGTTTTAGTTTCACACATTTATTAATAAAGTTATTGAAAAATAAAATTTGTAATTGGGTGAGATTTGAGTAGAATAATGCATGTGAAATGGTATATGGACCACTTATTTTTTGCGAGAAAGGGAAACTTGACATTTATTTTGGTCAACCCAAAAATGAAAGTAAGACAACCGAAATGGGACATAGGAAGTATTATTTTGGTCCTATTTTGAACAAATTCATTATTAAAATATAGAAATGGACACTACAAAAAAACATGATATTGACAGAGATTTTCCGAAATTGACAGGGATTTTGGCAGGGATATGCCAAATCTGTGCCAAAAACAGTTTGACACGAGCTATTTGGCACGCAATTATCGGTAAATCCGTGCCAAATCCATGCCAATCTCGTCATTTTTTTGTAGTGGGGATTTTTATTTCTAATAAACAAATGTAATGAAGAAATGTGCGTGTTTAATTGCATATTTTTTTCTTTCAGTTTTTAGTAGTTCAATATAACTTTTTTTCCCACAACGAAAAAATTCAAAATTATATAGATTAAATTTATAATGACGAATTATCATGTTATATATAGGCTTATAAAAGCGAGATGTACAAACATGGGCTGATCCTGAAATCTGGGATGCCCTGGGCCGAAGAACAATTATACTATAGACTTAAACATTATCAAGTGGGCTGAATATGAAATGTGGAAAATTTATTCTATAAAGGTAAAAAAAATTCATCATGTGTTTTAGTCCACCATAGCCGATACGTAAATGCTCATCTCACTCTACCATAGCCAATACGTAAATCCTCCTATGTCTACGAAAGTCAAATCCCAGCATCTTTGCTCCATAAGGGGGTTAAAGACCAATTATGTAGAATAGGCATAGGCCGGAATATTGGAGATCGACGCAGGTTACATGCTCTCAATCTAATCCCCGCATTTTGTTGCTCTATGCCGACATGCAGGGGCCGGCCTGAGCGATTTCGCAAAAGAGAGGAATGTGGGGAAAAGCCCAATAAAAAGTCTTGCTTTGAGTCAAATTAATATTTTTTAACCATATATATTTAATTATATATGTATGTATGATGTCATACATGATTCACATATAGAGATAGAGTTTTACACTTTTTACCCCCAAAACTAAAAACTGACTCTTTCCACGCCGACCTATAGATGGCATTATAGCGACATAGAAACACTACTACGTACCGTGTACGTATTAATTATAGTCCCCGAGTAATTACATTTGTATGCATTTGACTGGCGTTGGCACATATGTGTATGTAATGATTTTTTTTTTTACTAAAATATTACTAAAATAATCATGGATAAAACGTGACTATATGATGTAAATTTTGAATATAATTATAATCTCTAAAAGTTATTAAATCCCATTTTTATCCATCACTTTTTCATAAATTATTTCTAAACATAAGGAGTGTTTGGATCTCCTTAAGTGAATAGAACCATATATTGAAGTGTTATAGTGGAAGTACATAAGTACTTCTGAGTGCTTAAAATTGTCTCTAGAAATAATTTTTAGGAGCTCGACAGCTCGAGAGATGAGAAAATATTCTAAATACTCCAAAATTTAGAGAGGTTTGAGGTAAGTTCTTCAAATATGAATAAGTAGTATATATACCCTCTGAACTTTTATTAACACCATGAACATATGTTGTTTCTTTCATAAATGTACTTTTATGAATAATAGTACCATAAAAATACACAATGAACTTCATATGACAAGGTAGGTATCTTAATACTATGACCATATAATTTATAGTTTATATAAATATGAGAAATTATATTTCAGTCTTAAAACAGAACTTATTTGATCCGGCCTATTAAAAATATAAACTTTCTCAATTTATGTTTGAAGGAATATAAACTTTCTCAATTAAGAGTACTGATATATTAGAAAGTAAATCATGATAAGGGAAGTGTTCAAATAAAAAGACCTCTTCCCGTGCAAAGTGTGAAGATGTGCACTTTTTTGTGTTTCTGTTGCACTTTTTTCGCGGTGCATTGGCGAAAAAGTGTGGTTTATTTACGAAATTGCCCCCATGATTTTGGTCGAATTTAGTGCAATTTTGGCTCATTTTGAGCCATTAGATGTGAAAATCAATGCACAAGATTCATTCTCACTTTGCATGGGAAGAACTCTTTGTATTAGAACCATGCATCCCCATCATGATATTCCAATTTATTTTTTGCATGTTTTTGTCTAGTCCCATTTAATAAAATTTTCTCATTTAATTACGCATTCCATCTCAAAATAGAAGTTAAATTATTTTTATGCACGTGTTTGGCATTTAGCAGATTACTTTAGCGGGTTATTAATAGCAGATTCAGTGAGTGGGTTTGACTAGCGGAATAAGTTGGCAGATTGACAAAAAATGTTTAGTAATTTATCTGTTTGGTCATAACCGTTAACAGAAAACGCCATATTTCAAAATGCTAAGACTCTTACATTTGCATCCTTCCAAAAACGCTAGGGTCAATCAACTATTACTAAACATTTTCACATATTTGAAAATGGAAGTTAAACGGTAATTACTTTTGGTTATAACTCGTATATATACTCCGCACATACTCCGTATTAAGGTTAGAATGGTCATTTAGTGACACTTTCTTTAACTTTTGAGCCTCAAAAGTTTGACATTGTCATCATTTTGAGATGGATG